TTTAAAGAGTTCCTGATAATATCTGCACATTGGTGACAGCAATTCACTGTGTATATCAGAGGCAGTGAGCCTGGAACTGGCACGACTCATTCGAAGAATGTTTCAGTAGTTCGTACAATTATTTGGTTTCGTCCTAAACCTTGCTTCTCTAGTCCATGTGCTCACAATATCTTTAAAAAAAGTGGAATACTAGCTTTGCAAACGGGGAACAGTTTCGCCAATCCGAGTTATCTTGATCGATTCCTCTGAAAGCGATTTCCGGATTCCATACTTATTTGGCGTGCTCCAATTGAACGTTTTAATTATACCGAAAAAGTGAACATTTTTTTAGAATGTTTCAACGATGATGTCCAAGACCACTTCGTCGACAACGATCTCCGGATAGTCCTCGTGGTCATTGACGCTTGGCGAATATCGTTTCTCTCTGACGACGATTCTCCGATGACTTTTCTCCGCCATTCCATCACGTCAGGACGAGCAGTTGCGTTTACAGCGAATACTCAGTCGCCTACAGTCACTATGCCTCGCATAAAGGTTGAGTATTTCGCATAATCTATTGGGTTGATGCATTATTGCAATTTTTCGCGCCTTCTTTTTTGAAAAGACTGGCGTTTTGTTTATTATTTGTTCATGAAAATATTCTTCTCTCTTTCATTAAGAAATGCTTATCGAAAATCATCTTCATATTCGCCATATATGCTCTACCACTTCGAGAAAGGTTGGAAGGCGGCAGAGTCATTTCGCGATCTCAACGAACTTTTCGGCGAGGGAACAAATTAGCAAAAGCCAAGTTGAAAGATGGTTCAAGAGGTTCAAAACGCCATATTTACCGACCGAAGCTCCTACAGACTACCACTTCAATCAGTCGTTGAAAAACTGGCAAACGAACAAAATTTACGACGAGCTGGATGACTTGGTGGCCGAGGTTAGAGCGTGGATCGTCTCCAAGAATCGTGACTTCTCCACCGTGGAATCGACCGACTGCCAAGCAAATGGGAAGCATTCTTGAAGGATGGTGACTACGCTCCGGAATAATCATTTAAACGTGTTTTTGTTGAAATATCTTTATCGTTTTCTCTGAATAAAATTTTTGAAAAAGCCGCAATAATTATGCATCAACCCAATATTTTGTTCTTCGTGCTTTCAAACACACATCATGATCGGAATTCTTAGCGTTTTTTAAAATCTTTATTTGCTGTCCTACCTGTTTGAGTATTGGACCATGTCCCGTGCACTCTTTCTTTTTATATGTATTACTCAATCATTCGCAGTAATCGACCTCGTTGAACATCTTGTTTTTTCTATTGGGTTAGAATTCTCACTCTCATCTTTTCATTTGGCATTCTCTTTGCCAAACACTACTTATATGTATCACATGGCGCCTCAACACTTTGTGACAATGCGCTCTGGTTGTGTTCCACCGTGCGTCTTCTTTCAAAAAATATCGCCGGTATCAGAAACACTACATACTCTGCTCGCACGTGTTTAAGCTAGGCAAGTATTTTTGCTGCTTTCAAGGCACTGACAAGTGGAGTCGTACCGTCCCTTGGTATCACTACTCGAAAACTACTTCCCATCGGAAAGCACAGAAGACAGCTGGGTAACCTCTGCTTCATCTGCCGGGAAGAGGTGAGCGACCTACTCTTTTGAAGATTGATTTGTGGCTCCTTGTGCCACACCCGTCTGAAGCAGCTCACCTATTATTTGGTTAGCATACGCTATCACAGAACGTTTGACTATAGGAGAGATCAGCATGGAGGCAGGGTGATGCATGACGTTGCAAAAATTTTGTGAAATTTCTTACCAATAAACAACTCATACCATCATATTTAAGACAGTAAAAATAGATAAATAAACAAAAAAAGCCTAGATAATAAAAAAAAAAAATAACCATAAGTAATACTAAGCCAGGTTTCTTAACATACAAATGCACAAAATAAAAAAAAGAAAAAAAAAAAAACAATAAATATAAAAAATAAAAGAGAGAAAAATCTGATAAGATAAGAATGTAAAAAAAGTATTAGGAGAGGAAGATGGTAGATTTAACATTGAAGACATTGAAGCGTAACGGTCTCACTATTGCGCCCTCTTGGACATTGAGGAGCGCGTTACAAAAAAAAAAAAAAAAAAAAATGATTAAAACAATATGATACCTTTTTAGTTCATACGCCAGCTTTTAGAGAAATAATAGTATATAAAAGATAAAAAATTAATTAAAAAAGATATAAAAAAAAAAAAAACATTATTGTGAACGACATAGGTCATTGTTTGTTCAAATATGCTCCAGTTTAGAAGAAGTTTTCCAAGCTCACCGAAACCGGCGGCTTGGTTCATTAATAGTTTTCATGCTATTCTCATGAACACGTCAATAAAAAAGGGTAGTGAAAGTAAATGCAAATCTAAAGAGACAGAAAAATACATGCTTTCACTTGGTATAACCACATCAAAAGAGCTTTTGGCATCCACTACGGTAGAATAGACTAAGAATAATAAATAACTATTTATATATAATAAACAAATTTAACTGTTTTTAATCGAAAATAATAGAATATAATAAATAAATAAAATATATAGATACTGAATGCTAAAAAAAAAAAAAAAAAAGAATGTTTTTGTACCACTGGTGCTTTAAAAAGTTATCAATAAAAATTCACGGATCCGAGGTGCGGCGGTCGCACTCGCAAAATCGGCCCGGTCCCACACGGCCAAAAAAGCCAAAACGCGCGCGGTCGTCAATGTGTTAATCCGACTTTTGAAAACAAACGCCAACACAACGTCCCGTTATAACGAGTATGAGCTTGAGCCACATCTCATTTATCGACTATTTATCTTGTTGCCGTAATTTAACGGGATTCTATGGCTGCATTCTCCGAGCAATCAAGAAGTATCTGGAATCAAATTAACTTTGAATGTACATCCCGCAAAAACCTCTAGCCTGCCAGGATAACAATGCGAATAACAACCTACGAAGAAGCAATCCTTTGAGGATATCACACCCCAGCATAAAGATCAGGGAGCAACTATACGGGTTCAAGAAAGCGAGAATTTTCAATCTTTTGTCAAAACGTTCTGTGCCATGAATATGTGGCTATGAACTATAATGCTTGAAGATAATAGGGATATCATTGGCCAGATTATGTATTGCGCAAAGTTTAGAATGTTCAGACAATTGATTCTGCATTATCAGAGAATCCTTGACAAAATCTCGTGTGATTCGGATAGGAATTCTTTGCGACGCCAAAAAAAATGGATACACTATTTCAAACCTTTGTTGAATAGAGGAGTAGAAGTCATTCTTCATCAAGGATTTGACTGAGGTGCCATAGCTGCATTCCTGGGTTGCAACGTTTATATGTGTCTGTTTGTTTTTGTTCTTGCCGTTTCTTCCATTTTTCAACGGGCCATTTTTCTTGTAAACTATTCAAACAAAATTCCAGAATGTACTGTATTAAGTCAACCTTGGGGACGAGTGATGGCTTGCACTCACTTAGTAGGATAGTCTTTTCCTTAAATTTAGTTGGTTTCCATTTATGTTTATTGATGCCCATACTATATGTCGGTTCATAAAAAAGCATTCGTAATTAATAATAATGAACGTAATAAAATGATCCGAAGAAGGAGACAGAACTGAATATGAATATAAAAAGATGCAGCAATACGCGCATAATGGCGTTGACCAATCTGTTGTTTATTTTAGGTTGATAACAACGTCACTCGTCATTTTGATTCAGTTCTGAAGAGCCGCAATTGGGATGTGCTAATACTTCATTATCTTGGATTAGATCACGTAGGTCTGTGTATGCCTTTATTAGGCTGTACTTCAAGTTTCTTAGGTTTAGTGGTCTTGTCCATTTCCGCTCTTACCTGGTCATCCAGATTTAGGACATTCTCTTGGCAGTCAGTCGCCAGAGATCAAAAAGAAGCTCGAAGAGATGGATGAAATCGTTCGACAAGTGTTCGTTATCGTTTCGGTGCGTGGCTTAAGATTTTTGTTAGCATTCTACAAGGTAGCCCACAATTACGGTAACCAATAAACTATGGCACTAGAGATAGCAATTCGAAGTGAGATACAGTGAAGCTGCTCACGCAGGCTCGGAGCAACGGAATATCTCCAGATGTACTGTTAATTCCGGTATTTTTGTGATAGCCGCCGCACCTGATAGAAGTCTTGTGGATAAGCTGCTTTCAGCATGCTTTGCTGCTTTCTGACAAGGTGTGTTAACAACACCTGATACACGCGCTTTCCATCAAAACCGGCGGCAACCACGCCATGCCAGCAGATACGTCTTCTTACAGCCCATACCTCGCCGTGTGAGGGTCACGGAAATGACGTGGCTTCAATGAAAGCCGCTCGGATGAGCTGTTTCCCAACTACATGGATGGAAATCAGCAAAGTACTGGAAATGACTCATCCACGCGACTTCTATGAAGTGCGGCGACCGCCACGTCATATCTGGTGACACGCCTACTAAGTCGCGGACGCGTGCATCGCCAAGCACTCCGAAAGTTCCTAAAGTAGGTGCAGAATGGAAATGCTTTTTGAAACAGAAATTGCGTTCAGGCACAATCTCCTCTTCTCTTGGCAGTTGTCGGCGATCATGGCATGACAAACGCCGGAAATCATGGTGGGGGAACTGATGCTGAAACAAGTGTTCCAATGGTATTCTTGCACTCCAAAGCAAATATTATTCAGCGTGGAGACATGAAAGGTGTGTTCTGCTGCAATAAGACCAGAATAATGTTGTCTCGAGAGCCTGCACGGTCCTTTGAAGGCAATATAGACGATGACCGGATAGCGGAGGGCTTTTAAGGAGGTCAATGGACGTCACTGATGCATCGGCGTCGGGACGAGGTAACAACCACATCGCCAGCGCGATGAGGGGTATAGTCCACCAATGACGTCCAACAACGTCATCAAGTGCTTCACTTGCCCGCCACCGTCTCGCTACCTTCTAAGGTAGGTAGGTCGATAAATTGGTTAGTGAAAAAGGGAAGTATTTTCACTAAGTTACGAATGGACGCAAGGTCCTCAAGGAAGCGATAAGAGACTTTCACCGGGCGCACCTGTAACGACCTAGCAAGACGAGGCGAACTCCACCTACAGTGGCAAGACCCACCTTCAGGTGAGATGCCTGAGCTAGGCTTGGTTGATGGTGGGGTTATCAGTTGGCTGGTGGTGGAAGACTACGTTCGTTACATGTTTGAAAAGTGAAGTGGAACAGGAAGAAATGTGGGCTTGCTCCCACTGTCTCTACGTATGTTGTTGGTAGCAGTGATAAACTCTATTTTAGTGCATGTTGCACAGTTACGCTATTTTTCAGTTTTTTGCGTTCTCGACGTTCATCAATTTTGCTAGGTTTCCTTTTGATCTCCAAGTATTTCACCTTTTTCTCGTAGTGGTCTCCTTAGCGTGGCATTGTCCTTCACGAGGTCAAATCGGAGACACCATTTCAATTTTGACATTGCTTTGAAGCCCTAATAAAGTGGCATTCTGAATGTTTAGTGACGTTTTCGGAGTCGCCGTATAGATCAAAGACCTCTTCAACTGCTCAATCCTCCGGCCGCGGGTTTCTAACCATTTCTATTATTATTCGCTTTGATACCATTTTCAACCTCGCCTCGCATTTTTGAAGGTGATCACTTCATTGTTCCCTCTGCTTTGAATCAGTGCGTGTTTGAGCGCAGAAAACAGCGCAAAAAGGTGTGTGCGCTGAAGTGTTTAGTGTTATTCAGATGGACATGAAAAGGTGAACGTTCTCAAAAGCCTCCTACTTCATCTGTTTAAGAAGTATTCAAGGGAGGGTACAATAACCTGCACCTATTACCTGCCGGGCGGAAGTGGTGTAGTGGCAAGTGGCACGCTTACCACGCGAGCGGTCCGGGGATCAAATCCTGGGTCGTGAGTCGCCCGGGCCAACCAAGCCTTCCGGGGTCGGTTAATTGGTACCAGACTTGTCTGGGAGGATAAAAACACTGACTTGTACATCGGCTGGCCCCCGCAAGTCATTGTATAGGCCACATCGCATTCGAATGTACAAATGGAAGTAGAATGCGTGCCGCATCCCAAAAAGGGATTGATCAACGGCAAATGCTTTATCCTTATCTTCCTTTATTACCCTGCTCAATTTAAGGTCTGAAGTCAGCAGAACAAGTGGATTTTGCCAGCACATTGCCGTTTTTCCTTCGAATGCCGATTCCTTCGGGCAGTGTAGGTCTGTCTCTGATTCCACAGCTTGCCTCCCAATGGCAGTTGAGCGACGCCACCCGTTTTCTCTTCTGCTTTTCCAGTCTGCTCTCCACTTCTCCAAGCTCGTAGATGGTGGGTGATTTTTTAGCTTGTGCCGAAGTGCGAAATTTCAAGATAGGAAATCCATGCTTTTAAATTGTTCGATGCTTTTAAATATAGGTTTTTACTAGTAAACCAACTTCCAGAAAAGAAAAATGCGCGCTATTGCATATGCGGGGGCATTTCGTGAAGGACTGTTGACGTTTCGTTGGCGTTTCCAAACGCGTGACGTGTTTCAGCATGCCAAGCAGCGATTTTGAGCCAAAAAGGAAAGGCAGTCCGCTGAACTGCGAGGGGAGGTCTTTCAGGTGGTCCCGCGCTTTCTCAAAACGGTTTTTTGCATGATGTAGAGGGACGTGCATGGAGTACAGAACTGTAGTCCATTTCCGCTAAATGGCTCTCTGAATGCCAAAAAAGGAGCGAAAATGATTTTGTCTGAAACTGCAGTTTTTACGCATTCAACGTGGTTTGTCTCGTTCATGGCGTGAACTGCTCGCATAATGAAGGGCTCTCGCAACCTCTGTATCGGAAACAACGCGAAGTTTGGCCAAAATTGGGAAGTTGTTGTAGTGATGTCATGTTATGTACTGAAAAGCTCGGGAAAGTTTCATTAGTGCATTTAGGTTTTCGACTGCCGGCAGCGTCGGTGGTCTAGTGGTTAGCGAAGTGGGCTTCAATTGGAACGGTCGGACGGGGTTTGTGGTTCGGATCCTTGGGGCGTGAAAATTTTTGCATTTCTTGTTGGCACTTCCAGATTGACTCCTAGTTGCATATAAGCTAGAATAGATATATTATTCATGATAAGAAGCATAGGTGACCACAGTAAGGAAGGATTCCCTCGCAATTTGTCGAGAAAAAATGGTGGCGTCACAGTGGCACTCTAAAGCGCCCACATCACAAAGGAATGTCGCGCTTTTGATCAGCGCACTGCACAACCCTTGAGTTCAGAATGACGAGATTTTTTTTCAATTTTTTTTGATGTGTTCATTTTCCCATTTATTGCAGCAAATAATCAACAGACATGGTACAGCTCTACAAAACAAGTAAAGCATAGGTGCCTGTTGCACCAACTGCATCTGACGAATGCCCAAGAAGAGCAGCTACTGATTCCTTGGCATAAAACAGCTACTTCGCCTTCGTTGAAACCATAATCGGTGGGCGTTGTAAATGGTCCTGGGTGTTCGTCCACATACCCAGCAGCTACCCACGCGTATGCTAGGCACGGACGGAATACTGGAGCGCAGAATTGCCGGAGCGCAGAATTGCCGGTATGTCTGACTGACGACCTGCAGAGGAATTAGTCAGTGGAAATCAAATTTGCTGACAAAAAGTTCTTACTTTCAAAATGTTGTCCCTAGTGAAGGCGAAATCGGGGTAGTGATGGATCACGTGATCGTGTATACGCCTAATGTAGCGTTTGAACAGCCGAAAGAAATAGACATCCAATGGCTGACAGAGGCCAGTCGCTCCTGGTGGGATGGTCATCAGCTGAAGCTGTTTCCCATCAGGTACAGTTACGAAGTTATTAAGAAATGGCATCGGGAAGGTGAGCTGTTTTGAGAAAATCCCGGGCGTTGATAATAGCTTTGTTGCAGAACCCTGGCTCCTGTCGGGTCCAAGCAAGTTATGAGGGTGGTGAAGTCCACCTCATCATTGACTCACTCTTTTACCGCCATGCCGGTCATATATGCTGATGGACGCCTCGCAGAGAAGCTGCTTGTCATTCTCCCCGAAAGGGGAGGAGTATTCCCTCAAAGCGGGCATTGGCAGGCTCCAAACTTGCTGGTGTTTGCTGGAAAAACTCACATTATGACGAAATCGCAGGTACCAGCTTTCGTCAGGGAGTGCGTGGTGGGGTCGTCGGCCCCTCCACTTACAATATTCTTGTCGAGTAGCTGGATCTAGGGTTGCCAGACCATAGCAATGTGCGTCAGAGGACTGATGGAAAAACAGTTTTAGTGATGACATCCCACAGGAGGCGGACTGGCCTCTGTCAGCCATTGGATGTCTAGTTCTTTCGGCTGTTCAAACGCTACATTAGGCGTATACACGATCACGTGATCCATCACTACCCCGATTTCGCCTTCACTAGGGACAACATTTTGAAAGTAAGAACTTTTTGTCAGCAAATTTGATTTCCACTGACTAATTCCTCTGCAGGTCGTCAGTCAGACATACCGGCAATTCTGCGCTCCAGTATTCCGTCCGTGCCTAGCATACGCGTGGGTAGCTGCTGGGTATGTGGACGAACACCCAGGACCATTTACAACGCCCACCGATTATGGTTTCAACGAAGGCGAAGTAGCTGTTTTATGCCAAGGAATCAGTAGCTGCTCTTCTTGGGCATTCGTCAGATGCAGTTGGTGCAACAGGCACCTATGCTTTACTTGTTTTGTAGAGCTGTACCATGTCTGTTGATTATTTGCTGCAATAAATGGGAAAATGAACACATCAAAAAAAATTGAAAAAAAATCTCGTCATTCTGAACTCAAGGGTTGTGCAGTGCGCTGATCAAAAGCGCGACATTCCTTTGTGATGTGGGCGCTTTAGAGTGCCACTGTGACGCCACCATTTTTTCTCGACAAATTGCGAGGGAATCCTTCCTTACTGTGGTCACCTATGCTTCTTATCATGAATAATATATCTATTCTAGCTTATATGCAACTAGGAGTCAATCTGGAAGTGCCAACAAGAAATGCAAAAATTTTCACGCCCCAAGGATCCGAACCACAAACCCCGTCCGACCGTTCCAATTGAAGCCCACTTCGCTAACCACTAGACCACCGACGCTGCCGGCAGTCGAAAACCTAAATGCACTAATGAAACTTTCCCGAGCTTTTCAGTACATAACATGACATCACTACAACAACTTCCCAATTTTGGCCAAACTTCGCGTTGTTTCCGATACAGAGGTTGCGAGAGCCCTTCATTATGCGAGCAGTTCACGCCATGAACGAGACAAACCACGTTGAATGCGTAAAAACTGCAGTTTCAGACAAAATCATTTTCGCTCCTTTTTTGGCATTCAGAGAGCCATTTAGCGGAAATGGACTACAGTTCTGTACTCCATGCACGTCCCTCTACATCATGCAAAAAACCGTTTTGAGAAAGCGCGGGACCACCTGAAAGACCTCCCCTCGTGAGTGGAGACTTAAATCGTAAGTTGTTCAAATTTAGGAAAGAGAACAGAGACCGCGTTTCAAGCGCGCTCGCAAGAAAGGGGGCATTGTAGTAGCAATGCATTTCAAACCGCGTAAAATTTCGCCTTTCTAGGCAGAAGATGGGTCCTAGGCAAAAAAAGGAGAAGCCTCCCGATTGCGTCAGCAATTTTCTATTTCCCCAGTCTGCCCTTCTTGGGCTTAGTTCAAGGGTTAAGCTTGCATTTCTTAAGAAAGTTACTTCCTTATAATGTTAAAAGTTTGGCTCTGCACGCTACTGCGTGCATCACATGTGGGATTCAGTGAGACTGGACAACTCGCAAAATATTAGGCCACGTGGCCGAGAAACCAATAGTAAGATGTTTCGAAAGATGCGTCAGATGAGATCCAAAGATTGTCCAATTTCGCCGAAGATTATCGCGTAGTACGCGCAGTGCATGCGGAATGAAGCTGGTACTTATCATGACTTCGTTAAATTCAGCATTCATATCGAGCTCGGATGATTGTGGTCTATAGAATAGAATTTTAAATGCGGTAGCGATTGTAGGGCAAGTAGGAAAGGATAATATTGAACTGTTCACGTGCTAAGAAGTTGGTGATCAATCTGAATGAGCGCACACTCAGTTGCCGCCACGTTTATCAGTTATAGTTGACGCTCATTACCACTCCTGTCACCACCATCAACACTTCGCTCCCTTGATCGTTTGCCAGTGATGACTGCAACGAAGTTGGGGATTTGCATTCAGACGCTCCTTATCGTTCCTTATCATTTGTTATCAGTTCATACCGTTCACCATCGGTGTTCCCGTCCCACACCCATGCAATGTGTAGGAGTTAGTGTTTTACTGTCGCCACGAAGGCTACAACGAAATTAGTGGTACTCAAATTCTTAACTTCCTTATCAACTGTTATCAGTTGTTATCACTTTCGATCAACCACTATCCGTGTTCCCGTCCTATCCCTCATGCCACTTGTATGAGCCAAGGTTCTCTGTTACTGCAAAGGCGGCAACGGAACTTGTGGTATCCACACTTCGACGCCCCTTATCAGTTCTTATCAGTTGCTACCACCTTCTTCCAATCACCCTTTTGGTCCCTGCCTCACCCCACATAATATTCATGAGTGCGAACATCTTAGGGTCAACGCAAGGGCGTTGCGAAACTGACGACGTTAGCATTCCGATGCCCTTATCAGCCCTTATCATTTGCTATCACTTTCCTTCGCTCACCATTTGGGTCCCAGTCCTACCCTACACAATATTCATGAGTGCTAGCAATCCACTGCCAACGCGAACGGCGTAAGGAAGTTGGTGACATCGGCATTCTGACGCCCGTTATCAGCTTCTATCAGTACTTATCACTTTCCGCCACCCATCATCAGTGTTCACGTCCAGACCCCTATATACCCTAGAAGTTTGAGCGCTCTGGGACCAAAGGGAACGAAGATAAATTATAATCAAATTTGAATTCTAATGAATTTCCGGTCAGACAGACAAACACACACGAACACACACACGCACGACCGCTTAGCGGATTATGTGTATAGTAGGGTTTGTTGTGTTGTTATGTCTTGGCACTGTTTTGTTGTGTTCTCCCATGTTACTTTTTCGTCTCAAATAAATAAATAAAGTGCACAAAGGGATTTGGATTATTACAAAAATAGAAAAAACTGCGGAATGCATACAAATGAATGCTGCCATTGGGTCAGATTATAAATGTTCAAATGCGTTCTAAGCATCAACCATTTCCTAGCCAGCATGTAATCAACAATTGACCATGCACACGTTCGGAGGAATACCCCCATATATTGCGATAGCGCCAGAAAAAATATTGAAAAGCGCTTACTATTCACCAATCTGTGTTTTGCATG